AATTACTTCCATTCATCACAGCTATAGTGTCGTTCTTTGCTTCAAGCCTTGAATTCAACTGTCGGTGCAAAGGCTGCTACATACCAAACTGTGATTTGCAATCACAATTTTATGAACAGTAATATATATGCTGAATTTTGTCTTGTAAATACCTGCAAGCGCAAAACTCTCCTGGGAATTATTGCCCATGGAAAAGGTGTCTTCTTACCAGCATCGGACTGAAGTCTGCATGAGGTTAATGAGTTTCAACTGTTTTGGTGTTGCTGTGTCCGACTGCAGAGCCTGCCTGTAGAGCTGGGAATGGGAGAGCTGGTGCATGCTGCAAGACAACCCAGATGTGTGCAACACATGCCATTCTTTGGATTTCTTTCCTAGATGTACTAGCTCAAGGGCTTTACACACAACCAGTGTAAAGCAGAAGTAGTGACAACCAGGGTTCAGTAAAGCACAAGTTTCAAGACAACCCATTGAGATTGCAGAACCACCTATCCTTGGGTCAATGGGCATTTTAGTCCATTAGACAATATTGAGAGGCAGCTGCTTTGTGAAATTCAGTAAGTGTGTTTGGGGACAGTTCATCGTGTTCAAATAATGTGATTTTCCCTTAAGCAAAGGGCAGTTCTAGTGCGGAGTTCTTTCAGATAATCAGCTCTCGGCAAAGAAAATGAGCTGAATGCACCAATGTAATTAACCAATTTTCTCCTGTTAAGCACACAAGACTCAAGATTGTGAAGCATCCACCTTCAAAAGGCACGATTTACGTCATGAAACCTCCAAACCTGCCAGTACTAAGGGGAGGAAGGAAGCTCCAAGAAGAGAGGAAAACCACACAAAGTCATTGGAAACACTGCACAGCATCACACTTATCTTGAAAAAGGATCTTACGATCGTGTGTCCTCGAACAGCGTGAGGATTGTGAGCATCCGAAGCAGTGCTCTGATTAATTCCTCCTCATTCCTAGGCAGTGTGAGGTGAGGTTTACAGTGGGAAGGGTTATAAATCTGATCCGCAAGGATTTAGTGGCTGAGGAACTCCCGGGAAGGATCAGAGCTTGGGGTACTTGGACAATAACCAAGGCTGTCGTCTCTGTACCTGCCCTGTGTAAGATAAGCAAACTTTTGCTTGTCTTGTATAAGCAACCTTTTAGTGATGTGGGACTGGTCAATACGGTAAAAACATAAACTTTGATGGTGGCAAGAGTGGGAAGATTGTTCCAAAGCCAAATTCAAGCTGAGTTTCTCAGCAAGTCAGAACTTAAGTTCTGAGTCACTTAGAAGATATTTTTCTTCCCTTATCTTAGTCCATTTTTATAAATTTTAAAGTGTAAGAGGCAAAATTCTCTAGTCCCTTTTAACCTAAAGGAAATAATATATGTATTTTGTAACTTAAAGCTGCATTTTAAAAATGAAGCAGAACTACTCAGCACTGTGGTTGTGTGCATGTTGGCAATGTTAAAACTGGGGGGGTTTGTCCACATTTTTGGCTGTATAAGGTTTCTCCTCCTAGCATATAAATGGTCCCTGTAGCAGTCCCTGGTGGAGCCGGGGAGGCCAGGCAGGGGGCAGGGCTGGTTCTTCTGTCTCAGTGGTAAAGCAGCTGGGAGACAAGGGACGGCTCTTGGCTGGGAGCCCCCAGCTGCCTCTGCGGATCCTACCCTTGGGAGACGAGAGCTTCATCAATAATTGAGGAACATGTGAATATTGAGCTAATTTAGGATTTGCACTTTCTCACACCTTTTAATGTCTCTGAAGCAGGGGGGTGTGGGGAGGTTACTTGGTGAAAATAGACCCACGGTTTGCAAGCTGAGTAACCTGCCAGATGTCAGATCCATGCCCAAAAGGGGTATTTTTGAAGAGTGGGGATGGTCTTGCCTGTACAGTGCAAAAGCAGGGTTCAGGCACAGATTTTTTTTGCTGGACCCATGGGAGTTTGCTGCCACTGTTCCCCCTCCGTGAAAATGGGGAGAACAAAGCTTTCTTCCACCCTTTGTCTGCTCAATCTATTTTAGCTCGTAGCTTTTAGCCGTAATTTCCCTGCTCTCAAAGCCCTGTGAGAGCTCCGTTTCTTCCTGTGCCCCAGATACAGGTAAAGTGCTGCACCAGAATAGGGAAGGTAAGCAGAAAAAGTAAAGATTCAGTTTTTCCAGACTGCTGCTAATTACCCCGATACGGTCACAATTAAAAGGTGGCATTTTCACATGAGCCCTGGCTGTCTTTATGTAATGCAGAGCTTCCGACAGGACAGGTTTAACCAGCATTTTAGGTAGGGTGCAGGATGAAACCCATCTTACTAATGCAATCAGAATGCCAGGTGCTGGGGGGGGGGGGGGGGAATATGAAGTGTTTATTATTATTATTATAGTTTGCATTCCAAATGGGGGGGGGGGCCCCCCCCCCTGTCCTAGGAAGGTGCTGTCTTTTAGCACGGGAGAAAATCCAAACAAGAAATACCCTCAAGTATTTCTTTGTCCTGCAACCGCACAGGAGTCCTAGCACACATCTCTGAGGGAACCCAAAAGGCACATGAGTTTACCCCTGCAATACCTGGGGCAGATCAAGCAATGTTACCCCCATGATGCAGAAGGGGATAGCAAGGAAAACAGGGTGAGTTCCCCGAGAGCTTCCAGGTGTCTGCAGCAGAGGCAGGAGGTGGATGCGAGTCCCATCCCTGCTTGGTGGCTGATCCTCCCCCAGAGCTTTCCTCCCATCCCAAGCCATGTAACAGGGCTCAAGAGGGATTCATCCGTTCCTTTTCCCTTGAGGCATCACTCTACTACTACTACTAAAGCTTTCTGTCCTCCGGTGCCTCTACTATAGAGGTGCTATGTTGATGATGATGATGATACCCAGGCCCTGTGCATCCTGAGGATTAAAAATTAATGCTGAGCAATCTAAAACCAATTCAGAATAAACCCTTGCAGCTTCAGGCAGTCCCTCATTAATGCACTTCAACCCCTACTGAAGGGAAATCAGGAAAATAAAAGAAGGATATTACAGGTTCTCTTCCCAACCTCTCGCTGCCAACCTCTGCAGCGACTCCCATCTGCAAAAGGCACCCAGGAGACCTGTTTGGAGCAGGATGGAGAGTTTGGCATCCTCCCTCCCTTCCCCGTCCTGGCACTTCAAGGCGTGAGACAGGGCTTTGGGAGAGAAGTGGAGCCCGCTCTGTAAAGCCTGGGACAACACGGGCGGTCCCCAGGAGCGCGCATGGCTCCAAAGCACAGATGAAAGGCAGTTGCTATGTGCCGGCCCGCATGTGTGTGTGTGTGTAAAGGGTTTATAAATCTGTCCCGAGACCAGGAAATCTCCTGCGCCTTTTAGATTTAAGAGACGTTGCCTTCCTGTTGTATTCCCAGATAACGCAGCTCTGATCAAGCCCACTTGTAAATAGCTTAATAGATGTAATCAGTTCCTTTGGAAAATGTTGTTGCTTCCGCAGGGTTGTAATTTGGTCCCAGGGAAGAACTCGGAAAGGGCAGTTGCTGCTGCTTCTGCTACGAGTGAAGTTAGCACCTTTCAGCTCTCCGGACCCCCAAATCACTGTAATCCAGGAGGAACAGAACCGCAGCAATCCCACTCCCGTGCAAAGGAAGGGGAGAAACCAGGAAACCCAGGCAGATCTGAACCCACACAGCATACATTTACATACTGTTCTCTCCATCACTTGTAATCTGACAAGAGTCAATAGGAACACCCAGGCATGTGGTAAATCGATGCTTACCTGCACAAACACCCCAGCTGGGGATCCGCGATGGGTTTTCCCCCCCTGTTGGGGGGTTAGATGGGGCAGCAGCAGCCAACCCTAGGAAATGCCTTCCCATCTTGCACCCCTGCCTGCCAGCTTTCTGGCAGCACAGAGAGGAAGTCCACAATCAGTCAAAGCGGAGCCGCTGCAGCCCTGCAGCCCATGTCAGGGGGTCAGAATCATAAAGGAATCAAGGGACTAAATATATTCCTCTGGGCAGGTTGCAGGGATGAGCTGGGCAAGGGTACCCTGCTGGGGACTTTTGGTTTCCTTAGTGATACTGGAGATCATCCTGGTGGGGGAACACTTCCTGGGAGTGACTTTGCTGCCCTCATAAGCACTGAACTGGGGTTAGTGAGAAATAGGGTTGTGGGATGGTGGTGCCTCCATCCCAGCCAGGCTGGGGGAACTTTGCAGGGTGGAGCAGTGCTCCATAAAACACAACAGCAAGAAAAAGACGACAAAGTATTGGACCGGCCTTACATGTCCCAGAGATGGGCAGTGGGGACAAACTGGGGATGTTACAGCCTGTCTGACTGCCCCATCCCTGTCCCTGCCCATGAGGTCCCCACAAAGCTCACCGCCGGAGCCCAACCAGGCTGGACAGGCACCCACCAGCAGCTTCACTGTGCCCCTCTTTCCCTTCCATGCAAGGGGACCTGGGAATCTGGGGGAACTGTGTGAAAGCCAACATGGGGTGGCAAAGCACAGCCTGGACTAGTGATTAAAGCAGGAGCTGTGTGGGGCCAGAAAGGGATACCCTTGATTGATTTGTGTAGGGCAGGGGTAGCTGGGTAGGGCAGGGGTACCCCTGCCTTGATTTCCCCATGCAAACAAGCTGCAGCTTGCCAAAGCCTGGGGAGGGGTCTGAGGAGGGGACACCCTACGGGGATCTTCCTTTTGGGGCTGTTCTCTTCTTTCCAGAGCACCCTGAAAAGGTTTCAGCACCCTCACCTCCTCTCTGTATATTTCCCCCAGCCTTGAAGTTCTGGGGGCTCTGAGGTGCGGGGGGGGGGCAGCCCGGGCTGTTTGGGGATGGTAGGGCCGTTTCCATCTCCGTCCTCCCTCCCCTTCAGTGGGCAAAATAAGAACTAACAATAATAACAAAAGGGGGGTGAGGGGAGAATAGAGGGGGGTGTTGAGGGAGCTGCCCCCCCCCCCCCCCGGGCGGTGCTGGGCAGAGGGAGGGGAGAAGTTTTCTCCCCGCACCACCCCGGCCGGGGCTCAGGAGTTCGCAAACAAGGAGGAGCAGAGAGCACCTTCGGTGTCATTGGAGGAGGCTTTTTCCAAGGAGCTCATAAATACGGGGGAGGCCGGGCAGGAGGCTGGGACTGCGCGGGGACCCCGCGGGCAGAGCCTGTCGGGGGGGGCCGGGCCATGGCTGCGATGCTCGGAACCTTCCCCTGGCCGGAGCGGCTGGAGGGGGACGCGGCTGAGGGGGTCCCGCCGGGGCCGCCCCCACGGTGTCCGCCGGGAGAGAAGGGCGCCGAGAGCCGCATCCGCCGGCCCATGAACGCTTTCATGGTGTGGGCAAAGGACGAGAGGAAGCGTCTGGCCGTGCAGAACCCGGACCTGCACAACGCGGAGCTCAGCAAGATGCTCGGTGAGGAGAGGGGGCATGCGGGGTTCGGAGGTGCGACTCAGGGGTGAACGTCCGAGCACCCACGCGGGCGTCTCCGAGGGTGCAGACCCTATCTGGATCCATAACTCCGGTGTGGGCACCCATGCACCCATCGGCCATCCTTTGGGGTATGAACCCTGCCCAGCCGGGAACAGCCCCCCTGCTCCGCGGTGTGCAAGCCGTGCCTGGGTCTGGCATGCTGGAGTGCCTGCATCCTCCCGGCCACCCCGTGGGATACAGGCAGGTCCGGCATGCAGTGAGTGGGCACCCCTGAACCAGCATGCCCAGGCTGTGGGGTGCAAAGCCCGGCCGGGTCCAGCGTCCTGGGGCAACATCCAAGGGCTGCCTTGCGGGGTGCAACGCCTGAAGGGGTTCTGCACCCCAGGGAGCAGGCACCCGTGCACCCGCCCCGCAGGACAGAAAGCCCAGCAGTGAACCACACTCTGGAGTAAGCAGCCACTTGGATGCAAACCCTGCTGGGGTGCAAGCTGCTTGTGCTGCCAGTGGCAGGGATCCCTGCATGCTGGGCAAGGAGGGATCCCCTAGATTTCCTGGCCTGCCCCTGCTGTCCCACTTTGTCCCGAAGCTCACTAGCTCACCCCAATATTGAATGACACTCTGCGTGTGTGTTTCTGCTGTTTCTGTTGGAGATAACAACCCATTTTAAACACAAATTTGTTTCCCACTCCACATCCACTATTTCCCCCCTCTCCCAATCCTATTTTTTTAATGTGAAACCAAGAGGGCAAACAGAAAACACCAGCCCAGACAGTCGGAGAAAGAGCTGCCTGAATTGCAACACAGCCTTGCTGTCCAGCCTCTTACCCAAAGTTTGTGTTTCCTTGTACAGTTTTGTGGTGTTTTCTTTGCTGGTTTGGGTTTTCTCCTTGCTGCATTACCATGCAGCATCTCAGCTTGATAGTATTATTTCTGCTGTCTCTTTGGCAGTGGGAAGGCATCAAATGCTTTGATCTGTATCCTTATTTCTCCCCCTACCCAGAGGAACAGCCTGGGGTACCCTCACCAGGGGATACACACCCCTCACCCCAGCACTGCCTCTCTACCCTGTGTCTTGGGGACATTTTGTGTCTCTCGAACTGGGAGCAGCAAGGTCGTGGCACCCTGGTCTATCCTGCACCCCATGAGTCCTGGCAGGGCACGGGCTGGGACACATCCAGGGACGCCATGTACTGACCCCTGCTCAGCCAGGCATGGCCTTGGCCGTCCCTGCTGTGCAGCCATGATCTCCATCCCACAGAGGCACTGGAAGATCAGCCATGGAGCTGGGGGAGTTTATTTGTCCTGATTTATCTGCAGTGAGGCTCAGCTAACCCTGAACCCACCCTGTGCAGGGACTTAGGATGGGGAGATTTGGAGGATGTACAGTGGCTTTGATCCCCCCCTTCTTCATCCTCCTGCTGCCCTCCCATCCTCCCGAGGGGTTTGCAGGCTGCATCCTCCATGTGTGCCAGCTCAGAGCCCCTACCTTGCCCTTGTGTTGTGTGCCTGCAGGCTTTGGGAGGCAGCCACCTTTCCTTCCCCTGCCGCGGGTGCTAAGAGGAGTTGTGTTCTCTGTTTCAGGCAAGTCCTGGAAGGCTCTGAGCCTCTCGCAGAAGCGTCCCTACGTGGAGGAGGCTGAGCGGCTGCGGGTGAAGCACATGCAAGATTACCCCAACTACAAATACCGGCCCCGGCGGAAGAAGCAGGTCAAGCGCATCTGCAAACGGGTGGACCCCGGGTTTTTGCTGGGCAGCCTGACACGGGACCAAAACGTGGTGCCAGAGAAGCGGACCTGCGGCCGGCCCGGGGGGGATAAAGAGGGGCCGGGTGAGTACCCCCCTCGCCCAGGCCTGCCATCCGTCCGGGGGTACCGGGAGGCCCCAGGCAGCGGCAGCAGCACCAGTGTGGACACCTACCCCTACGGGCTGCCCACCCCCCCGGAGATGTCTCCGCTGGATGCCATAGACCATGAGCAGAGTTTCTTCTCCTCACCCTGCCCCGACGAGCATCACCACTCCCACCTCGCTGGAGCCACCTACTCCCCGGAGTATACAGGCAGCTCCCTCCCATGCAACCACCACCCTCTCAGCCCCGTACCGCAGCCGGCAGCCTGCATGATCCCCCCAGCCTCCAGCTGCCCTTCCCTTCCTCCTCCTCCCAGCTACTACACACCTGCCTTCCCCTCCCTGCATCCCCCTACCCTCCATGCCCACCTGGGCCAGCTCTCCCCACCACCCGACCACCATGGCTTTGACACCTTGGACCAGCTAAGCCAAGCTGAGCTCCTGGGAGAGATGGACCGCAATGAGTTTGACCAGTATCTCAACAACCCTGGCCATGGTGACCACCACAGTGGGGTCTTGGTCAATGGACACATCCCGACGTCTGGCAGCTCCCATGCCTCTGAGAACAGCCTCATCTCCGTCCTTGCCGATGCCACGGCCACCTACTACAATAACTACAGCGTCTCTTAGAGCCTCAGCCAGGGCCGCCTGGACCGGCCGAGGAAGGACCCGACACAGTATTATGAGGCGTTGTGCCCAGGGACATCACTCACCGCCCCTCAGGGTGACCAAGCCCAAAGTGCGAGGGCTGTGGAGTCTCCTCGGTGGTGTAGGTAAAGGATTTCGGTCGCCGTTTCACCACTGGTGCAAAGTCTCGGGTGTCCTGCTCCAAATGATGCTGGGGGGATTTCCCAATGCCAAAGCCCATTGGCCAAGTCCCTCTTCCAAAACAGAGATGCTCCTAGGAGCATAGGAAGGCTGCCCCCCAGTTTGGGGCACCCCCAGCTCTGCTTTGGAGTCAGGAGGGTGGCAGCATTACACAGATGGCAGGTCTGAAGTCCTGGCAAGGGCATAACCCCCTGGAAGGGGAAATGGCATGGGAGGAAAAGGGGAGATTCTGGTGAAAGGGTGCACGGCCTGCAAGCCAGTCTTGGCTCACGGTGTCGGCATTGCCACAGCTGCCCTGACCTGCCTGACCATGCTGTTGGGGCTTAAACCACCCCCTGTCCTCATACCCCCAGACTGTGAGTTGGCAGCTCCATCCCTTGGGAAACCCCAGAGGAGATGGTACACCAGGGATGCTGCGATTGCACAGGGGCTGCAGGAGGGCAACCAGCCACAAGGGCACTCAGTCTGAGCATTCCAGAGGTGGGTAAGATCCTTGGAAAGGCAGGATCCTGCTGGCATCTTTCCCCTCCATGGCATCCACTTGGCCTCCTAGCAAAAGCGCTGCCAAAGGGGGTGCAAGCGTGAGCTGCCCTCCCCACCCGGCCGGGAATGGGTCCTGGGATGAGCATTTTGGCAAAGAAGTGATGATGTAGCACACATAGTTTTTATCAAACATCCTTCGAAAGCGAATGCTTCACGTTTGGAGCCGCAGTGCCCAATGCCTCTTCTAACTCTGGCGTATTATTGCTTGTAATAAAGCTGTACATTGATTTATTCCTTCCATTATTCCTCCCCTCGGATTTTGTATTGCTCGAGTTCTCTTCCTTTTCATAAAGATGAAGCTTTATTTTAAATCAGTTATATGACATGATTAATCTTAGTGTTTACTGTATGGCACTTGGTAATGATTAGTTAGTAGCGTGGCTATGATTTTCTGGTTTCGGTCCCAAACATGTATTAATAATAATTGCAAATAATACTTTAAAGCCCCCCCGACTTCACAGGTTTTTAAGCTAATACATTCCATCTTTTTTTTTTGTGTGACTCTATGCATTTTGAATGAGTGTAGATACGAGTTTGCATAAAATATTTAATTTAAATAGATATGTTTTTATACGATGATTGTTTTACGATTGGAATTGCTGGAGCTATTGACAAAGTTTTCAAACCAGAAACGTTTCCTGTGCAAGTGCTATTTTTTTAAATTGTTTTTTTGTTGGTATTTGCAGCCAAACTTTTCTACTTCCTTTTTTTTTTTTTTAATAAAAAAGATCTGTGGTTATCTTTACAAACTGTGGACTGCTTTCTAACAAATCGACTCAAGGCATGTGTTCGCTTTTCATGGGTCTCGCAGGGGCACCAAGTCACTTTGATGGCCTTGATCCTGCTTTTGCCATCTCACGAATGTGGTCTTTTAACACCTATGTAGATATTACCATGAAGTTAAGGCAGAGCTTTGCATTTGGTGTGTTGGCGAGCACAAGTGATAGATGTTGCCTATTTATGGAGCAAGTGCCAGTGCCTGGAGCAAGGGTTTTATTCACATTTAAGGCCATCTCTCGCAGTTCATGCTGATGCTCCACAGTGTGAGGGCCATGCAAAGGGGTCCATGATGCAAATGCAGATCAAGGCAGTGAGGCCTGAGATGTGGGAGCATGGGTCAAATTTGGGGAGCTGCATCAAGGGTGCTCTTAGAGGTGGATGTTGAGTGGTGCCCTTCAGGCATAGCTAGCACAGAGAAAAGCTTAGGTCATCTTGCAGTCCAGGGACCAACATCACAACCTACTCTTGTTAGACATTAAATTAGGCTGTGTCCCTGTGTCCTTGAGGTTAAGCCATTCACGCTTTCCAAAGAAGCATCTTCCCATGCTGTGTTCTCCTGCTTGGCCCCAAAAAGTGGAAAAGTGGATGAGCAAGCTTCCAGTGCACTTTGTGATGACCACCTATGTGTGCTGGCTGGAAGAAGTCTCCAAAGGTCACTCAGCCCAACCCAGTGGAACCCAACCCGACCCAACCCAACTGGGCTGGTTTGCCTCCCATAAGTGACTTATCTCTGACTCAGGGAGCCCATGATGCCAGGAGGTAGAAAGCTGCATGATTATTTGGGGATGCACCATGTCCTGTTCTTGTAGTCCTCCTTTATACTCCACTAGTGCCACCCCTGGAGACAGCCCTTCCATCACACACAATACCTCTTCCTTTGAGGGGGGACAAAATGGACAACTTTGGATGTCCTGCAGGAACCATGAGCTGTGGTGGCTCTTGCACCAGCACAGCACAAGGGCACAATGCTTGGTGTGGTGCAGAGATGGCTGCTGCACCAGCCTGGCTGGGGCAGTGTCCCTCTTCCAAGGGGATTTGTGAATCAGGGCTGGAGGGAGGGAGGTGGCATGAGCCGGTTTGGCCTCTCTGTCCAGGAGTGTTGACTCAAGTGGGACTATGCCAGGAGCAGGAGCAGGGCTGGAGAAGTCCTGCTCCTCCCTCCTCCTTCTCTCCACATCATCCCTGTGTTGCCCCAGGCCCAAGTGATTCTCACAGCCCCTTAGCAGCACATTAAAACCTGCTCCTGGCAGTGATGGCCTGGGTGTGTGTGTCCAAACCTGGATCTGCCTTTGAACCAGGAGGCTGCTTCCTTCCACACAGGTCCTCATCAGAAGGGCACCCAGCCCAGGGCACCCGGTAAATGTTCCCTTCTGCCAGGTCTGCTGCAGCAGAGGCTGAGAACAGTGGTGAGGTTTTAAACTGCATTGGGGCAGAGGCAGAGCACAGCCCTCCTGCCCCCCACAACAACATCAGCTCTAGGCATTGCCAGATTCAGTCTGTTGCCATCTTCCTGATGGGACCCTCTCTCTGACTGTTCCCGCCTGTCCTGTTCCTTACTCCTAAGCAGTGATGGGATCTACTGCAACACCCCATGGGCCTTTTCCCTCCTTCCCTTGTGACAGGCGGAATCACATCTGGGGTCGGGGGTGGCAAAGCCCACACCAAGAGCTCCCACCAGCATGTGTGACCATGGCCAGAGACTGGTTTCCCTGGAAAAAGGGGGTTTCTCCGTGCATCCCACCCCAAGGAGCCCACCAGGCTGGGGTGCACGGAGGCTCCCGCGAGCTGAGCCTGTCCCCACTTGCTCAAGCTGGAGCCACGTGAGGAGAGGTGGGATCATGTCCCTGTGCTCTCTGCACGCCAGGAACTGCTACAGGCCCCAACCGGGAGCCGCGGCCCCCGAGGGCGTTGGGAGCTGCAGCCAAGGCGAGGTGCGGCTCCCTGGGAGCCAGGGCTCGCCGGCCGGATCCGGGCACGCACCCAGCGCCAGGAGCAGCCAGCTTCCACCTCCTGGGACACCGGCAGCAGAGGCGGGATTCAGGACCGGAGCCATCTGCCCCTTCTCCCGTGGGATGGAAAATGCAACGCTATGGGTTTCCCCCTGCCACACAGCATGGTTTTGGGATGCAGGGCGTTGCTGCAGGACCAGACCGGAGGTGGCAAGGAGCCTTTTTTCTCCCTGGAAAGCCGGCGTACCTGCAGATGGGGTGGTTTATGGACTTCTGGGGGTCTCAACACCGAGCAGGAATGGTTCTGCACCAGCCCTGGGCATGTTTCTCCTCCCTCTCTGTCCCAGACCCTGAGCCCAAGGCTGTCTGCACACGCCAAAGAAGCCTTGTGGTTTGTGGTCTGCTTCCTCCAGGCTCGGATGGGCTGGGAACCAGCAGGAAAATCAAATCAGGGCTGCAGGAAGGGATAAAATGGCCTCACACCACATTTGGGCTCCTGCTCAGGGGGGTCAGGCTGGGCCAGAGCTAGGGTATCTCCTTGCCAGGAGGTGGCCAGGGTATGAGTCCTCAGCCCCTGGCATCCGGTGGCCCTGGCCAGCCCTTGGCCCTGTGGCTGTGCAGGTCATGGTGCTGGGCACTGGGAGCAGGGATGAGGTCACCTTCCTGGATAGCGCTGGGATTTGGGCTGTGATTTGAGTTGTGGTGTGTGTCATGTCCTGGTCCTCCCAGGACGGGTCGTTTTGCATCCCTTGAGCAGGTGGTGGCTTCTCCTCATCCTTACTCCACCAGCCATGTCTGCTTGTCCCAGCACCTACCACTGGGCTGTGGTAGACCTCAATGACAAACAGCCATGTGGCTGCTCTGTGCCTCAGTTTCCCTGTTGGTAAACGAGAGGTAACACTTCCTTCCCTCCCATCTTTTTTCTATCTAGCACTAGGACATGAACTGTCTCATACAGAGAGTTTAACAGGAGTAAGTGCTTTTGCTGCCCTTAGCATAAGGGTTCTCTGCCCATGCAGGGTCTCTCAGTGCTGCTACCAAATTAGCTGGAAAATGATTTTTTCCCCTCCATTGCTCTCAAAACAGAAAGAGGGGAGGAAAGCAGAGGCAGAGAAGGGGGTGAGGAGGCTTGACGGAGGTCAGCCTGTAAATCAGTGTCAGAGCCTAGGGGAGACCCTCGACACTGCCAGCTCCCAAAGATCCCCCTTTGCCTGTCAACCCCTTTCTGCTCACAGGTAAACACCTTCCCCCTCCATCTTCTTTTGCCCCCATTCCACCCTGACTCAACCCTGCTGCACCCCATGGGAAGTCATGCAGGGAGAACAGGATCAGGCCCTCCCTCCCATCCCTTCAGAGGAGGGAATGAGACAAGCTGCTGAGTGGTTTCCTGCCCGGCACTGCCAATGGGAGCTGCTTGGGGTGCCGGGAGCAGGGGAGGATGTATCCGGAGCTGAGTGTTTCCTGGCAGATAAGGCCAACCCCTCCTGCCGGATGTTATGAGTCCAGGTCCTACCTCCACGTTTCAAGCGAAGGGGCCGAGGAAAGGCTTGGATGTTTATGTCAAGGAAAAATAACTTCTCCCTCTGTGTACAATCCTCCGGCTCCCCCAGGGCTACGTGCGGCAGGGTAAATGCTGGGAATAGGAAAACAGGGGCGAGGGGATGGAGGTGGGTGATGGGGGAGAAGGGCTTGGCTCTGGGGAAGGTGGGCTGTGGGCAGCTGGGGTCTCTCCTTCCCCGCTGGGCCTGAGTGCCAGGGCAAAGGCAGGGGGGAGCTGGGGTGAAGAGCCTTGGGATAGGTAGTGCAGGCTGAACCCTATGGGCTCAGGCTCAGAATCAATCCAGAGTCACCTTGGTGGCAAATCCAGCATGTCACCTTTGGTGCCCACCTGGAGATCCAGCCCTCCCATCAGGACTTGCTCAGAAGGCAGGCTTCAAGGCAGGAGCTAAGGCCACCCACACCAGTCCCTGTGGCTGAAGGTCCAGGGTTAGCTCCTGCCCATTTCTCATCCAAGGGGGGCAGAGATGCTGAGAGAGGGAAGAGAGTGAAAGGGTTGAGTCCGATGGCCCAACAGTGCCCAGCAAGCTGGGGAGGAGGGAGAGCTTGTGCAGTGGGTATGGAGGGAATGAGACAGATAGGAATCTTCTCCATGTTTTTGCAATAAATAAGTAAAATCCAGTGATCAGACCCTCCTCTTCTGAATGCATCTTGTGTGCTCCCACAACCATTTTGCACCATTCACAAAGGTCGAGCCAAAACCTCTGCACTGCTGTATATGTATATGCTATATATGTGTGTGTATATATATATATATGTATATGCTGTATATGAGGCTGGTATAGGTTCAAGGTCACCTCTGCACACTGGAAGGGATATGAAGAGACCTGTACTAGGCTCACACTGGTCAAGAAACCAGAACAAGGAAGATCCCCAGCCCTGACCAGTACCATCCACACTGAAATCACCACAGACCCCAGCACAGTGGTGCCCAGGCCAACAAATCCTGCCCCAGCCCTGGGGCAGGGTAGAGAGGGCAAACCCAGGGAAGTTTTGGATGTGGCCACCTTGTTTGGATGTGGCCACATCAACTCAAGGGCCTGAGGGCCAAGCAGCAGAGTGTGGGTATTATCAGAAAGTCTGTGGATGTTTTTTTGCTTTCATTGAACCACATTTTGACTGAAAGTTTTGTCTTTGGCATCAATAGAGAGAAGGTGAAAACTCATTAATCTGCCTCCCAACACCTGTTTACCCCCATTCTAATGCAAGAGGGACTGCTGGGGTCCCGTTTCCCACCCAGTGGATCGGAGAGAGGAACTGGAGAACACCCTGAGAAGAAAGAAGAGGAAGCTCCTTTCCTTCCTCCTCCTCCTTAGAGCTTGAAGACCCCATGAGGGTTCTCAACAGGAGCTGAAGGGCATGTGAGGAGCATTGCTGCATGCAGGGAGAGCTTGGAGTTAAGAAAGCTCATGCTGGAGACCTGACCCATGCCCTTCTTCCAGGGCTCCCACCTCTGTTCCCTC